CGGAAGGAAGGTTGGGCAATCCTACTTCCGTAGTGATACTGCCTCGGAAACCCAAGGAGGGGTCGCTATGAGTCAGGGCTGACTCGATGGCACATAACAACAACAACAACAACATCTGTATTAATCATGAATCACCTGTTCTCTCCTCCTATATCTCAACTTTAAATTGTAGCTCTCTTACAATTTGTCATTGACTTTCCCCTATTCCATTCTCTGTTCTACACACACACACACACACACACACACACACGTCTCTGTTTCTCTTTCCCACTCAACTGGGATGAGAGTCAGGGGGAGAGGCTGCCCTGCCCTTGTCAGAACCACCTTGGATGTCTCTGCTGTGATCCTCCTCCATTTAGCAAACAAACAAACAAAAAAATCCTCCTAATATTGCAATGGCTAAATTTGCTACACCTAGAGAGAGAAATCGGCTGTCAGACAGGTGGTAAAAAAAGGCCCTTAGGGACGCAGAAGCAAAAAGGAGAAACGAGCAGAATGTATGAAATCTCAACAGACTTGTTTCTAAGCAGAACAGACACCAGCCTCCTGTGAGGCTTCTCCTTGCTTCTTTGGAAACTTGAGCATGGAATGAACAGAAAGAGAGAGAGTTAAAAAGACTGAGCTTTACAGATTTCTCTGGCTTCTTAGAGGGAAGCCTTTAGACTAGGATTTGGAGGTCTTGTGAAAATGCTGTAAAAATAAGGTAGGAGGACTGTAGAAATTTGAATGCTTAGACAATTAGGTAGAAACTTGAACAGTGTAAAGAAAATGTTGGGCAATGGCTAACAAGGATGGTTGAAAATGGAAAAAGAAATGGAGAAACTTACTTATCAAATTGGACTTGGAATCAGGAGACCTGATTCCTTCCATTCTTGACAATATTACCTCAGGCAAGTTCTTTACCCTCTCTTGGGCCCTTGCAAAATCAGGAGGTTGGATTAGGGGATACTTAAGGTACACGGTAGTTTGAAAATGGTATGATTCTTAAAAGATTCCCACATCGTTTAGTTAACAATGTTGGAAGAAGTTGGCAAGAAGGACTAAAGATGTAATATCTTTGCCCCACCTAGTAGAATTATGAATCAGCTTTGTTCTAGGACATATAACAATCCTTGAGAAATTACAGGTCATCAGGAAGGAGCTTCTTCAACCTTATAAAATCCAGTGGCCTTGTACATTGGCACAGACAAGGACAAGTAACTAGTTTTAAAGAGTACAATAGCATCATAAATGGTCATTATGTTTCACTTTGCCTTATGGTTTTGAAAAAACAAGGACTGTATTAAATATTAATGTCTACTATTGACTTGACGGCAAACAACAACAACAACAACAATTAACTCTAAAATCAAAAGTTAACCTACAGCCTGCCTTCAAAGGGCATGAGATTCCAAGCCTTAAGAGCACTCATCATCTTACCTTAAACATTTTCTCTGACTACTATGAGACACCTTAAATTCCGGGATTCATTCTTCTGGTTTTGACACTTAGAGGCTATAAATACCAGTGGAGAAGTGACAGACAAATGCACTGGCTCTTTTCTCAACTCTTCTACTAGTAAGGACACCTTTTATGATTTTTCTAATTATTAGGCACCATTTTTTTTTTTTTAAGATCTATCAAACAAACTACGAGCTCTGGTAGCGTAGTGCCTAAGGCACTTGACTGCTAACCAGAAGGTTGGCAGTTCAAACCCACTAGCCACTCCTTGGAAGGAAGGTTGGGCAACCTACTTCTGTAGTGATACTGCCTCAGAAACTCAAGGAGGGGTCACTATGAGTCCAGTCTGACTTGAAAGCACATAACAACAACAGCAACATCACATATTAAATAATATGTTTTCGCAATGTTTAAAACATTTATCAATGACAGTTCCTTACTAATCTGCACTTCTTTATGACAACACAATTACCCTGTTGATGTGCTGTTGTTCGTTATTGGCTCTGACTCATGATGACCTTGTGTACAACAGAACTGAGTCATCCTCACAGTTACTAGCATGTTGGAATCCATCATTTGTGGCTACTGTGCCAATCCATCTCACCAAGTGTTCACCTTGCCCTTGCTGCCCTTTATGTCATAAACATGCTGTCCTCCTCTAGTAATTGATCCCTCCTGATGACATGTCCAAAGTAAGCAAGTTGAACAATGTTCTGTTGCAATCCACATAATTTTCATTGGCTGATTTTCAAAAGGAGATCACCAGGCCTTTCTTCCCAGTCTATCTCAGTCTAGAAGCTCCACTGAAACCTGTCCGCCATTCATCACCTTACTGGTATTTGAAATTCTGGTAGCATAGCTCTCAGCATCACAGCAACACACAAGCCACCATGGTGTAACAAACTGCCAGTTGATGCAATTCCACCTAAAAGCCAAGAATTCTTGTGCTTTAGTTAGCCTATAAGGTTGGCATTTCAAATTTGCTCAGTGGCCCTGTGGAGAGAGGCCTAGTGATCTGCTTCTGTAAAAAGCACAGTGAAAAAGACTCTATAGAGCAGTCTATTCTGTAATACATGGGTCCCCATGAGTCAGAACCAACCAGATGGCAATAGGGTAGTTAGTCTCTATAGTCTTTTAGAGGCTAAGGATATAATCATTTCCATTAGGCTTTCTGAATCATTGAAAATAGCTTTTCCTATTCCCTGTAGCCCTACCATCATCATCATGACCATCTTCCCAAACCTACTGGCCAGGGGTCTGTGGTGCACTGAATTACTTGGTATGGTTTTCTAACCAGTCTTTGTGACTCCCACCAGATTATGTGGTGGGACCATTCAAATAATGTGGGGATTGGTTAGTTTTGTCTTCTGCTAGGCTTAAAATGAATGTTCCCAGAGACAGAAAGGTGGATCTCACTGCATCAAGAGAGAAGAGCCAGAGGTCGAGTGGAGCGAGTCTGTGGACCCGAGATCCCTGCACTGGACTTCCTTGGTGGAGAGATGGTAGAGACCACCAGCAGAGGAAGCAAGAGGCACGAGGCAGAGTGGTGAGCTTGCCAGCTCACTGAGCAACACTACTGAATGAATGCCTTTGGGCAGGGGGCTTGCTGGCAGAGTGGGGTGCACCTGGGTGTACCTATTGGCAGAGCTAATAGAACTTTGTACCACTTGCCCGAGCAAGGCAGAGGCCAGGCCAAGAGGCCAAGGGTCAGAGAGGTGTACTGATGGTATAGCAAAGGGGAGACGGTCCTGATCAAAGAATTATATCTTGAGCATGCCCCTGAACCTGCATTGTAGCTTCTTGTTGTTGTTGTTGTAGTTATGTGCCATCGAGTCAGACCTGACTCATAGCGACCCCTCCTTGGGTTTCGGAGACAGTATCACTACGGAAGTAGATTGACCAACCTTCCTTCCGAGTTGTAGCCTGTTACCTCCCTGATAAACAACTCCACAATCATGAGTATTGTCTGTGAGTTCTGTGTGGCCTTGCAGCAAATTATTGAACCCAGCAGAGAAGTAATGAGTGCCATGGAAGGGATGGTTGGTGTCAGAATTAGTGAAAAGGCTGGAGGGTGGCAACATGTCTGGCCTCATAGGAATAAGCCTTAGGCTGCTGCTGATGATTCTGCCCTCCCCTCGTGAAGTTAGAGGAGGTCAGAGGATGCCACCCTCATGTCCGTTTTGCAGGTTATAAACTCAAATGTGAGGGTTAAGCAAATAAATGAGTGAAGCAGACCAGATGCAACACAATAAGGAGTGCCAGCAGTTGTGGAAAATGGAGAGCACACCTGTGTCTAAGAGAGGGCTGATAGTTACCATTGGTGACACATCTTCTGATTCTTTAAGAAAAATCAGAATCTGGGGTTTATTTTATGAGAAATTATCCTAATTTTAAAATGTTTGCCCCAAATCCAAAGGGTTTGTTTTATTTTTTGTTTCTGTGTTTTTTATTTTTTA